ATGGACATCTGAGAACAAATTTCGTGTGCTCAGTGTTAAGACCGCTTGTCCTACCAACTCTTACTTTTCACATAATAAGAAAATCTTGAAGAAAAGAGAAAGAAAGAAAATCTTGAAAGATGATTTCATTTTCTCAGTTTCTTGCGTGTCCTTGGGGTGCTAATGTGTTTGGTTACCACAGTATACAGTTCACAATCACCTATAATAACCCAGATTTGGGGGGGAGGAGTATCTCTGTATCTTTGATCAGCAGGCAAAAACCTCAGGGTCAGGATTCTGACTCTGCAAAACAGAGAATCGTGTGTTGTAGAAACTCAAAACTAACATGTCTAGGCCAATGGGCAGAGGTCTGAAGTGGCAAGTGAAAATGATACGATTAATGGCCTTGGTGATGAAAGGCTTACAAACTATTTAGTTTTCTGTTCTTAACTCCAGTCCAGCATTTACCAAAAGAATTAAACTGGTTGAACCTTAAGTCAAATTTTGAAAGCATAAGTGTATTGCCCAAGCAGTGTAGAAAGGAAGAGAGAAAGTACTTTTAAACATGACCTCCATTTCTAGTGATACCTTGGCTTGTACTGCTCAATACCTTTCACAGTAATAACTTGATGTGGTACATTCTCATCTTCCTTGAATTTTTACATTTTTCCCAAGAAGTGACTCTTTTTAAAAAAATATATTTTTATTGACTTCAAAGAGGGAGCGAGAGATAGAAACAGCAATGATGAGAGAGACTCATCCATGGGCTGCCCTGCCAGCCCCTCCACTGGGGATCGAGCTCCCAACCCAGGCATGTGCCCTGACGGGGAATTGAACCATGATCTCTTGATTCATAGGCCCATGCTCACCACTGAACCACACTGGCACAATGACTCTCTCTGCCAAGGGTGAGAGGGTAAACTTTTTCTAAAGGGCAGCTCACACCAGACAGGCTGCCAGGGATGCACAGCAAAATGTTCTGTCCTGTTTGTTTCACCCCCACGTGTGTGTGTGTGTTTTTTCCCTTGTAGCTACCTCATCCCTGAACTCCCAACTCCAGCAG